ACGTTCCTCATTCGGTCATCCGGAATGATTCTACATGTTAAAAGCTGAGGTAAGACTTTCTGGAAGTTATGTCCCTCTCTTATCCTTTATACATTTTTAGAGGTGGCAACAGCCATTTTAATTGATAGAACTTCCGCAAATGTTCAACATTCCATGTGCCTGCCGGTCGGCCTTCGGTTGATTGTAGGCCGAACGTTCCTGAAGCATATTTCTTGTAGATCTGATAAGGGCCTTCCCAATTTTGGTCCATTTTCCCGCTTTCTAGAGGTTTGCTCTTTTCTGGCTTCCTTAAGAGCAAGTCTCCTACTTCGATTGATCGGATTTTTACTTGTTTATCGAAGTATCTCCTTGTCGCTCTGTGATATTCCTCCATCCGTATTGCAGCTAGATCCCTTCTTTCCACTATAAAGTGCAGTTCGGCCCGTAGATTATCCTCATTGCATTCGGGATCGTAATGCACTGTTCGGTGTGTGGGAACTAGAACTTATGTTGGAACCTTAGCCTGGAATCCATAAGCAAGGGCAAACGGAGTCTCTCCTGTGGCCGTTCGGGGTGTAGTCCTATATTCCATATGATGTAATTCAGTTGATCTGGCCATGATGAGGAACAATGTTCTAGTTTTTTCTTCATACCATCCAAAATGGAACAGTCCATACTTTCTATTTGGCCATTTGCCTGAGGGTATGCTACAGATGCTCTGGAATGTTTGATCCCCCATTTGACCAAATGATTTTCGAAATTTCTGCTCACGAATTGCCTTCCATTGTCCGTGACGATCTGCTCAAGGAGGCCAAACCGACAAATAATGTTCTGTCAGATGAACTTCTGGCACTGGAAATCTGTAATGCTCGCCAGTTGTTCAGCCTTTACCCATTTGGTGAAATAATCAATTCCAACGATGATATATTTTTGTCCTCCGGGGGCAGTAGGTAGGGGCCCTAGCAAATCGATTCCCCACCTAGCATATGGAAGAGCAATGATCATCGGAGTGTAGAAAGTTGCTGGCCGACCCGGAATCGGTGCATATAGCTGGCAAACCTTGCACTTCCTGGTATGTGCAAAGCAAGTCGTTTTGATCCTTTTATTCGTTCGTTCATAATCACAGGGTCAAAGACGGTTAGCTGAGATGATGGCTCCCTCCAAACTGTTAACGCGTTCCTCATTCGGTCATCCGGAATGATTTTACATGTTAAAAGCTGATGTGAGACCTTCTATCTTCCAAACCCAAAATTCCGATGTAGTCCGTCCGTTTTTTTTCCGATCCAAATCATCCTTATTAGGGGTTTAAGATGACCATCTTCAAACTATAAACAAGATCCCCTGATCGGATCATTTCTTACTTATAACTAAAATGGCGACTCACTTCCAAATCAAGTTAATGACTGATGCAAGATTTAAAAACCATAGTTCCGATCCCCCGTTCGAAGAATCCGTGTTATCGAACATCGCTCGGTTCGTCCATACTTATAGTTTTGACACCATCTCCAAGCCGTTTTGATCCCTTTATTCGTCCGTTCATAATCACAAGGTCAAAGACTGTTAGCTGAGATGATGGCTCCCTCCAAACCGTTAACACGTTCCTCATTCGGTCATCCGGAATGATTATACATGTTAAAAGCTGAGGTGAGACTTTCTGGAAGTTATGTCTCCCTCTCTTATCCTTTATACATTTTTTAAGAGGGGACAACAGCCGTTTTTATAGATAGAACTTCCGCAAATGTTCAACATTCCATGTGTCTGCCGGTCGGCCTTCGGTTGATTGTAGGCCGAACGTTCCTGAAGCATATTTCTTGTAGATCTGATAAGGGCCTTCTCAATTTTGGGCCATTTTCCCGCTTTCAAGAGGTTTGCTCTTTTCTCGTTTCCTTAGGAGCAAGTCTCCTACTTCGATTGATCGGATTTTTACTTGTTTATCGAAGTATCTCCTTGTCGCTCTGTGATATTCCTCCATCCGTATTGCAGCTAGATCCCTTCTTTCCACTATGAAGTGCAGTTCGGCCCATAGATTATCCTCATTGCGTTCGGGATCGTAATGCGCTGTTCGGTGTGTGGGAACTAGGACTTCTGTTGGAACCTTATCCTGGAATCCATAAGCAAGGGCAAACGGCGTCTCTCCTGTGGTTGTTCGGGGTGTAGTCCTATACGTCCATATGATGTAATCCAGTTGATCTGGCCATGATGAGGAACAATGTTCTAGTTTTTTCTTCATACCATCCATAATGGTACGGTTCATATTTTCTATTTGGCCATTTGCCTGAGGGTATGCTACAGATGCTCTAGAATGTTTGATCCCCCATTTGACCAAATAATTTTCGAAATTTCTGCTCACGAATTGCCTTCTGTTGTCCGTGACGATCTGCTCAGGGAGGCCAAACCGGCAAATAATGTTCTGCCAAACGAACTTCTGGCACTGGAAATCTGTAATGCTCGCCAGTGATTCAGCCTCCACCTATTTGGTGAAATAATCAATTCCAACGATGATATATTTTCGTCCTCCGGGGGCAGTAGGTAGGGCCCTAGCAAGTCGATTCCCCACCTAGCAAATGGAAGAGCAATGGTCATCAGAGTGTAGAAAGTTGGTGGCCGACCGGGAACCGGTGCATATAGCTGGCAAACCTTGCACTTCCTGGTATGTGCAAAGCAAGTCGTTTTGATCCTTTTATTCGTTCGTTCATAATCACAGGGTCAAAGACTGTTAGTTGAGATGATGGCTCCCTCCAAACTGTTAACATGTTCCTCATTCGGTCATCCGGAATGATTTTACATGTTAAAAGCTGAGGTGAGACCTTCTATCTTCCAAACCCAAAATTCTGATGTGGTCCATTAAGAGACACTAGGAGATGATAACCTAGATGGCCACTAGGATTATAATTGCATGTAGAATAAATTAAGAGAGATCTAGTTTATTCTAAGACACGTTCACACACACTTAATCGTTCGCTAAGAGATTAATAGCGATTAAGGGGCCGTAAGCTCGCTCGTCTTGGCAATAATTTAGGATCCTGTCGCATGAGAGATTAGCCCGGTCCATTAAACTATTTTACTCTACGCCGCGAGAACGGTAAGAACTTACTAATGATTAGCTAGGCTCAATTAAATTAATTTCATGCGATTAAGCCTGATCTGCCATAAATCTGATTACCCCATAATCAATCCTTGTTCCCTTCGTCATTAAAATATTACGATCTATTTTAAGTGCGAGAAAACTCACATCAGTGTCCCAAATGTATTTTACTATACACGTTAAAGAATAACAAAAATTTACAATCACGTAAATTCATTAATCATTTCTCAAAATTTAATACATAATTTGTAAAAGTAAATATATTTGGAGATGGTGTTACTATATGCTCATGTGGCAAATAAAAAAACTTCAAGCAAGCCAAAATTAAACTCATAATCTATATATGGTCTATCTAGGTATCTAATAACTCCCAAGGGTAGAAAATAAAATATTCATAAAAAACCCTAAAGATGGAATATAATCACATATTAACTTCCTGGTTTTAAACCCCATAGCCAATGGTCTATCATCCCTCCTAGTGTTGTATCAAATAAAATTTAAATAATTAACAATTTCTTTTGACAATTTAACTAAATAAATAATATTTAACAATTTAACACTCACAAAGTCATTTAGTTTTGTATCAAAGACAATTGGGAGGAAATTAATTCTGTGTATGTCGTCTAAAATATTAGATTGAAAATGACAGCTGGGAGATATTTTGATGGTTATGATATTTAAATTAGATCAAACTTTTTTGAGTACATTCGATTTAAGTTTAGTATGTACGATCTAATTCGTTCAAGTCTAATCTGATAAATTTTTGATATATGTTTATTTAACTATTGTGTTATCCATGATTGAAATTCATCCAATTAAAGTCATCCTTCATTTAAGAATGTTTAAAAACTACTTAGCAACAAGTAAGTTCTCTAAAACATTTTGATTATGGGATGAATAGGAGGGTGCTCAAAAGAATTTGAATACATGTATACAAGTGTCAAGTATGAGCGTGTAAACTTAAAAATGAATAGCAAGTAATGATATCTTTTCTAAACCATTATAGGAGCATTTTTGTTTACCACAACTTTCTAGACCAATTATTTTTCATTGTATGTAATAATGTAATACTAATTACAATAATTATAATACGTACTCCGTAGTATTTAGTAGTGATTAATCTTTTCTGATTATGAACAAAGGTAAGAAGAGAGATAAAAACGAAAGAAGGTATTCGAGACAAAAGTCGATAGAACGACGAAACACCTAGCGCAACCTAGGGTTAATTGGGGGGGGGGGGGGGGGGGGGTTCATTCAGGGTGGCTGGTGTTCCGGAGTTCTCTATCGTGGGCTATGCTTTGATTGCAGGGCAGCGAGGCAGTGCAGTTCTTCCAGGCGACTGGCAATGCGTGCGGTGGAAATTACCATACGTGCATTGGAATTCCACAACGGAGGCTTGAGGATTGGCAGAGCAGGTCCGGCTGGGTCGAAAACGGTAGACAGCGGGGGAAGACTTCTGTGCAGTGATTTAGTCCAACAAATTTACAGAGTGGTGTCAATGGCTTTCAGTGGTTTCGAAGGCGACTGTGGATCTACGTCTTCTAGGGTTGCAAGATCCGATTTTTCCGATGCTTGGTTTGGCTATTTTGGCTCTAATGTTGATCAAGATGGGAGTTGCACAAGCTGTGTTTGATTCGGGTGAAATGCTGGCGGTATGGGTCCCGGTTAAAGGGGGTGAATTTGGGCTCCAATCGACTGTTGGGGGATCGGCGCAGTTGTTTTGGCCACCTCATGTGGTGGAGGAAGAAGATGGTATGTCGATGATTCGTCCTCCTCATGAAACGTCGCCACAAAGGAATTGCGCGACTAGAGTCTGAAAGACGACTCTTGACGAATGGATTCCATTGTTCCTTCGGGCTTCAAATAATAAAGGTGGTAGGTTCTTAGTTTGGTTACGTTTGTTTGCAATTTCTCTTGATTGTACTATGACTTTTGATTTAATTTAATGTGCTAGTTTTCCTTTCAAAAAAAAAATTCTTTTCTGATTATGAATTAAATGAATTACAAACTTTCCTAATTTCTCCATCGGCGCCCAATTTCACGTCCAGTCTTCCCAATTTGACCATCGCCAATCCAAACTCCACATCAAACGTCAACGGCGCAGTGGCGGCGGTGTCATTTGTTTGAACATAGGAGTCAACCACCGCCCTCGTAACCTCGTCGTCGTAAAGCCTGGCGTCCGATGATAACACTGCAAATCCATTCTTAATATTGATGAATATGTGGTTGTCGAACGTCTCATCGCTTTGGACATCCATCGGGATTCGAACATTCAGGTCTCCGCCTTTCGGGCACTCTTTCATTAACGTTCCTAGGAAGTTCGGGTTTATGGACGGATCTGAATCACTCTTTGAACTGAAATCGTACAATCTTTTGGATATGAAGAAACAAGCCGTCGTTCCAATACTATGTGCGCCTGAAATTGAAAACATATTATCGGTTAAGACCAAAATTTGTAACAATAACAACTTAGAAATTTCCAAACACCGACATGACATCTAAGATACATATACTACCTCCGTTCATATTAAAACTTCCAAATAGGTTTGACACACAATTTAAGATATTGGGTATTGTGTGGTGGAGAGTTGTGCAGAGGAGAGAGAAATGCGTAAGAAATGTTATGAACCACAAGTTCTTTACTAAAAAGGGAAAGTTGAAGTTTTAATCGAAACAGACGAAAAAGGAAAGTTGGAAGTTTATTTAGGAACGGATGGAGTATAAAATTAAATTAATGATTCTCTCTTTATATGTTTTTGATTTTTTTTTTCAATATTGTCAATCACGGTAATCTATTTATACATTGTACTTGACAAGACGGATAAAAAATTATCAAGAAGTATAAGACATTTCAAAAAAAGAGAAATATATTGTGTTTATTAATTGAAACAATTCCAAATGTATGAACAAACTAAATGTAATGGACAAAAATGTGGCTCTTATAACTTTCATAACTACAATTGTATTCGGATATGACATGATAGTGATTATAAAATTTACACAAGGTAACTATAATCACATGTTTGTCTATAAGTTTTTTATTAGTAATATTTTATGAAAAATATCTTACTCTCTCCGTTACGCAAAATAGTTTCCCGTTTCCTTTTTGAACCATCCCAAAAAATAGTTCTTATTTCCCCTTTTGGAAAGTTTTGTGTGATTCACGTTCATTTACATTTTTCTTAGTCAATCATAATCATATATTTTCACTTTATTCTTACCTTCTTAAACTTCGATTCAAATCAATGCGGGAACTATTTTATGGAACGGAGGGAGTGTTAATTTCATGTGTCAATTTCTTTCTTTCGTTCAAGCTATATTATTAGAGATGCTCTTAGGAGCTACAGAAAATAATATGTGTACCAATTTTTTATACCCAAAATCTGTCACAAGTCACAACATATTAGAATTGACATGACTTTAATATAGGCAGTTGAATTAGGGTGTGATTTGCTTCGATCTTTGAATATTTGAAATGAAAATTTAGAAGGAATTGAAGAGAAGAAAGTGGGGATGATTATTTGTACTTACCACTTAAGACCACAAGGTCTTTTTCATCCAAACCCTTGTTCATGAATCTTGATTTCAAAACATTTATGTTATCGTCTACATCCGGGAGAATCTCATCCGCAACACTCTGATTGGAAACCTTTCCATCCATCCTTCCCGTCTCAACCTCATAAAATAGCCCCCCAGCCTTTATTTGAATCACCAAAAAGTAATCATATCAAAATTATTATTATTTGTATATGAATAAAACTTGCGGTAAATAAGAATGTCTTTAATTAGACTAATTTCATAGCAGACAAGATTAGACATCGACGGTTGTGAAATACACATAGAACAAATATATATCAAATCAAATTAATTTAAATCATATCAGATTAGATTTAAATAGAGCAAATAAGGTTAGATTAACTCGGAAATTTCAGTCAAATTATAAATATCATAAACATCAATAATTAATTAAGGTCAATGCATATTAGTGTGTGACGTCTGAGTAATTACTTTCTCTTTACAATAAGCATAAAAAATACAATTATCATGATTAAGAGCACGTTTGATAATCATGTTTTCATCAGTTTTATCAAATATGTTACTCGTACTTGTTTTCATCAGTTTTATCAAATATATTACTTTTGATCTTATATCATGAATTATGTAATACCCCCTCCGGTCCTAAATAAACTTTACACTTTTCATTTTGGGTAGGTTCAAAATAAATTTCACACTTCTTCTCCCTTCCTTATTCGGCAAATTATCTACATCAAAACAGTGCAAAACAGTGTCAAACGGTGTCACAACAGTGTACTCTACAGTAAAGTCAAATTTATTTTCTTAATTTGTGTGAAGTCAAAGTGTGAAGTTTATTTAGGACCGGAGGGAGTAATTAGAACAGGTGAAGTAGGAATTAATTATCTTACTGATTTTCTAAAAAAGGACTATTGTAAATATTTTTCAAATATGTTTATTTTATAAATTAAATATTACATTTTTTATAACTCAACAGTTTCAATCAATTCGGTAAAAAATTCTTAAGTTAAGTGTTACGTATAAATAGGCTCTAAGTGTTAGTTTTCAATAGGCTCTGGATGATTAGTTGATTATTTAGTGTTATAATATGGGCTGATCGGAATCAGAAAAGATGAACTCATAAATATATGGTGGCAATGACGTACATTAGCTAAAATGACATCACAATACAACAAATACACAATTACAATATTACATGCATATATATTACGTTCATATGACGTAATATTAAATATTTAAATTAAATTAGTAACTTTAGCTACACAGCTTCGTAATCTAAACAAATGTCATGTACGTTACATATATATTGAAGGATACAATAATCATATAAATTGCGTATTCAAAATCTCAAACGCTTTCGGTTTCCTGCTACAAAGCGCGCTTTTGGTTAAAGTTTATCCTTCTCATTATTTCCAAATAATAATTATGGCCCTCTTTGTTTATTGGCGTTTTCTAGCCAAAACACCGGAATACCGGTGTTTCCCTTTGATGAAAAATGACGATGGCAATGGGGGCGGGGGCGGGGGCGGGGGCCGTGGGGAACCGCCCATGGGGGGAGTTGGGGTGGGTGGTGGGGTGGGCGGGTATGAGGATGGGGAATTATTTCCTCTCCACTTAAATATGGGGCGGGTGATGGTTATGCACCCCTTGCACCGTCTCGCCCCATCCCCATATATATATATATATATATATATATATATATATATATATATATATATATATATATATATATATATATATATATATATATATTAATAATTAATAATAATAATCACAATAATAATAATACTAATAATAAGTTTTTTTACAAAAGTATTACTAAAATAAAATTTATTTTACACAAATATAACTATTAATTACTACAAAGTAGTGTTATAGTAACCTAAGTTTAAAAATTGAACATAAGTTACTATAATTTCATTACTACCCTAGTCACTAGTCATATTTTTGTAAATAGTCTTCATTTTAGTCATAAATATGTAATTACTAATACGGAGTAATTAAAATAGCATGGTGGCCCGATGGGTTTAGTTGTTTGCTATCTAATGGGTTGTGCCTAATGGGTTTATCTAATTCTTGTTTAATAACTCAACTATCTTGTAAAATTGATTATCAAAATCATATAAAATAAAAAGACTTTGGGAAACTTATAAAGTGATATTAGCTTAAACGTCTCAAACACAGTGTGAATGTTTTCTTCTTTTACTATTATAGTCCATTAATTCTTTTCTTATGAATGTCATCTTTATGATTGTAATTAGAGCTTTTAAAAATCTGGTGACCATAGGTCGTCCTAGATGCTGTCAAATGACCATGGTTAATTGAATAAAGGGCTTAAAAAAATATTATAGAGCTAATCAATGCTAATAAAGTGTTTGATAAAATGACTAAATCAAAACGTGTATAATGTATTCTAGATTTGAAATGAGATGCATGTAAGATTACATTGACACTTAATAACTAAAAGGTTTTTTGGCTACATACTAGAAGTGTTGTTTGATTTTTGAAAAATTGTATGAGTCTAAAATAGTGTTAATTTTTGACGAATATTCCCCGTTGGATACTCGTGGGTCTAGCGGGTCGGAGCGGGGGATGGGGCGGGTCAAATAGTAGTGGGGGATGGGGCGGGGGTGGAGGCGATTTTTTAGACACGGGGCAGGGATGGGGGAGTGAACCCCACCCCAACCCCGCCTCATTGCCATCCCTAAACACAGGCTATATGTGATAAATATTACTCCGAATCTTGATATATACCACACTGAACGTGTAGCAACAAATGCTAATCTTACCCAATTTATATATGGTTTGAAAATTTCATTGAACCATTACTCATATTGTCACTTGCCAATCCCATTTTCAGTCATATATATTTTCTTCTGTTCACAGAGAAGTTATATTAAGAAAAGACGAGAAAAAATGTAACGAGTCAACCAAACTGATCGAGTTCTAATAAAGAAAACTTATCTAAGCAAGAGAAGATTGTTGTCATACGAAAAAATTATTTTATTGTCATATTTTGACATTATCATATTGTAAACGCAATGTCAGAGTTTTTTCCCATTGAAGGGTGTTTTTCAAACTTATTTCCCAAACTAAGATACTTTTAAACTTATTTCCCAAATAGGGGTATTTTTTGCCATGTCACCTCAGAAAGGCATGTATGTGAACCACTACACTAATGGAACGAATAATATATGCGATTAAGAAATAGTGCACTCCCGGGGTGAAGGATACATGATTTATACTTCTTAAAAGACATTTGTTAACAAGTGAATGGTGTAGTGTAGTGGTTCACATACATGCTTTTCTTGTGTTCCACCCAGGTTTGAATCTTGTTGACTTTCATTTTTTAAGATGTAATATTCATTCATCATGTAAAAACAAAGCTCTGATTTTTCAAGTAGACAAATTACAAGTAGGTTACTGCCTAACGGTTTTTGTGCGGAACACTAATACTTTTGCTTAGCAGGTGTTTGATACACATTGATTCTCAATTCATATCCATAGGTGAGAAAGGAAGGAGAATTAGGGAAATAATACCCATGTTGACTTTCTAGGTGCAAAGGTACAAACTCCCATTGTTCCAAGAGTTCCTTTAATAACATTAATTGCAAGTGTTACCGTTTGGAAGCTACATTTACAAGCCACCTCAGGAATTGAGCTGTCGTGCTTTCAAGCATCTCCATTCTCAATTACGAAGACACTTTTACTACACACAGATCGATATCCAAAGGATTATTTTCAAAGTTCAACGCGGAGTTTTTTTTTCGTTTTTTTAACTCGAGTCTGAGGGGCCTGAAGTAATCAGGGTTAAAACAGGGGCGGATCCTTATGTGGGCAGGGGAGGACTCCAGCCCAGCCCAATTTTTATTTTTTTAATTAGTATTAGTATATGCATAACTTTAATGTCCAGCCCATCCCAGAATTAACTCCTAGCCCACCCAAAATTAATTCCCAGTCTAATCCAATCCTATTATCAACTATTCCACTTAACTACTTCAAGCTAACCTGCGGCCAGAAGTTCGGAGCTGCGAAGCATGAAGGTGAAAGAGGGAGTAAATTCCCTAATTAAATAGGAGTAATTTTTTTTTGAAATTCCATTATATGACTATCATGTTTTTTATTCCCTAAATAGAAGTAAATTTTTGCCTAGTTTGACATTACTAGGCTTTTAAACATGTCATTTTTTTCAAACTTGGCAGATTACTCCTATTCAGGGAATAAAATAACATGATACTCCTATTTTGGAATTTCAAAACGTTTTTACTCCTATTTAGGGTAATTTCTAAAATCATAACGATATAGTCCAAGTATATATAAATGTATAATCCGGGAAACATGATACTATATAATCAATATACTATGATATGAAACAACACTCCCTACGTCTCAATATTATATTCACTTCCCTTTTACGTCTGTTCCAATATTATCTTTTCTTCCATTTTTGACAAAAAATTTGTGGTTCACACATTTTTATACATTTTTCCTGCAGAACTCCTCACCGCACAATACACAAAATATCTTAATCCCCTGTCATTTGTAGAGATAAATTCGGGACGGAGGAAGTAGCAATTAGAAAGTTGGTTAGAAAGTTAGTTAAAAGGATAAAGTGGTCATCTGACAAAGTCTTTGGCGTGAAAAAAAAAATAAGTAAATGTGTTTTTTTCATTTTTGGAATTGCAAAACACATTACTCATCTCATCAGCAAGGCAATTTCCCAAAACTAAAAAAAAGAGATAAAATTGGGAAAAAAGACTTACTAAGACGACAGCGTCTCTAGCAGCCAAAGCGACAATATCAGCACAAGAGACAACGCCAGGGCATTCATCTTCCAACACCGTTTTTGCTCTTTGTATCTCCTCATCTCCGCCCACGCCTTGATGCCCAAATGCACTTCTTTCCTTGTCACTTAATTGCCCATTAATATCATTCTTGGTGATCAAAATGGACCCATCGCACCCCTTTCATAAAAAATATGTAAAATTTTATCATGTCACATATATATTGCTATTTCTTGGAATATATGGAAAATGACTTGTACATTACCAAAATAGTACCCCTTCCCGAAATAAATGTCTTGTTTGTTTTAGCACAAGTTTTAAAAAAATAGTTGAAAAGCTAAAAGTTGTAATTGAGATTTGAGTAGAAAAAGATGAATTCATATGAGCCACACATTATTGTTAAAAGAGGAAACAAGACAATTATTTTGGGACGGACCGAAAAGGAATGCAGAAAATTTATTTCGGGACGGTGGGAGTAATAGCGTGGACACAAATGTGACTATCTTGTGTGCACTTACCATATTAACAACATTACGATTGGTGGTGTTTGGAACAGATTCTGCTTCACTTTTTTAAAAGTTGGCCCCCTCAACTTCTAAAAATTGTTTCTCTAGGAGTAATTTGGAGCATCCAGAGGTAATTTTACACTTTCATCCAAACATTTAAATATTTTTTTCTGCTCCCCGAAGGAGCAGAATAAGTTTTAAAAAGCAGATCCAAACACCCCATTATAGTCAAATTTTACACTAGAGTGATCGTGACGGACAATGTTGGAGACAAGGGGTTAGAATAAAATTTGTGGCGCATATACATATGTTTATGTCTTCCATCATTTGCAATGCAGCCAAAGATTCATTATTTTTTGGCTTGAGATTATGATGGAATAAAGCAAAATGGCTCACTAAATTGTCTGCGCTTCTTTGTTATGAAGCAGCAATCAGTCCATGCAATTTTGGACGGGATTTTCACTATGGGTCATCCGGAAACAGTCTCTCTGTGCTTTAGTACAGGGGTAAGACTGCGTACATGCGACCCCACCTACCCCACCGTAGGTGGGAGCCTTTTAAGCACTGGGGTAAATGAAAATGAAATGAAAATGATATACATATGTTTATGCAGTATAAAATAATGAAATTTTAAGTTTTAGCCTTGAATATACACTCTTTAAACTCTTACCTCTAACCTGACATTTCTGACTCCGTCACCGGTAATAAGTTTCAAGGACTATATATTAATATACACAGATCATACATGATCAATAAAATGTAAAAGTGAATATAATGATGAGTGACTATCGACACTATTGTAGTCACTGTCCATTGTCCCATTTTTATCCCCTACTTGCTTTTCTCATATATTCCTCATCATTATTTATAAATGAAGGAACCTGAACAAAACAGTCATGGAAGTGGAGCCTAAGCAACATGGCTGGCACCCTTGGATCGATCTTGGATGCTTCCTTGACGACAGAGGCCACGACAGATTCAGCATTAGGACATGTTTGGGAGTAAAACCCAACCATAAGCTCCCTTTCTGCTGCAACACCTTCTTGAAACAATAAGCACAGAACATAAGCAGCAGCAGCAGCCAAACAGAGAACAACTTTTCCATTTCCGGCAGAGGAAGATGAGTAAAGCGGCTGCATTATTATAACCCACCGGCCTTTTCGAGAATAGGAATGAAAAGAAGTATTGACTGAAAGAGATATCAGATGACAGAATAGGAAGAAAAGTCAACCAAGAGTGACTGAGAAATGGTTGGCTATAACACTGATGATCCGTAATTAAAATGGTTACTTGCATGCCAGAATTTAAATGCCCAGATTTTTGTGCGACGTGTCATTTTACCCAATGCCATGTGTACCGAATATAGAAGGGTATATTACATACGGATTATTTTTTAATGAAAAGTGAGTTTTGGCGTAAATATACTCTGTATTTTATTACTGATAATATTTGTTCCAAAAAAGGTGGAATCTCCCACCCCAAAGCCTCCCATACTCCGACCCGACAGGATTTTTGGGAGAATGTTAATCACGGTGACTCAGTCGGCCCAATGATGGTAGGCCTTTTCCCGTGCGCACAAGAGGCTCAGCCTTATTTCAGGTTCTGTGACATCCACACGGCCGCTGCGGATTTCGAACCTTGATCACTTGGTACAAATTTCCCACCACTGAACCAACTGAGCTACCCGTGCGGGTAAATTTTATTACTGATAATATCAAATTATCAATAGGTGTTTAGTGCTGTATAAAATGGGAGAATAAAGAAGTCATTCGTTTTTTCTTATTAGTGGGATCCACCTTTTCTTTCTTTTCAACTTCTCGTTTAAAAAAAAATCTTGCAACGCATGCGAGGAAGCTATCAGCACTCGGCAGTCAACAGTTTCAGCACCACCGATTGATTGATTCTTTCATTCATTTCTTTATTTTTGCACACTTTTCTGTACATTATCATACACATATCTCTAAACGGCTATTTTTTGTCTCATAGAGGTGTATACATAAACTATTGTGTATAAAATTTGTGTACACAAGAGAAAAGAGTCAAAGTCATTCAACTACTACCTTTTTATCGAGGTCCCACTTAAATGAATTGCTTCATTTATGGCTACACATTAGAGGTGAGGTAATAATGAGATACATTTTGGGATACCTTTAGCATTTGTGTTCTCAAATTTCCTTTTTTGTTTCTTTCAAAAACTTTGTTACTTTTCTTTTAAAGAAATAAATTTGTGGTTGTGTTCATTTCTTTCTTCTATACATAACTCCACTCTTTACTTTTTTCCAAGTCTACACCCAATATGAAATTAGCAAAGTTGAGTGGGACTAAGGTAATACTTCTTTTGTCCATAAAACATACAAAAAAGCAACTCAAATTTATCATTGATTGAGTGATGTATTTAACTCGATTACAAAATTGATAATATAGTTGGAGCGCTTCTTTGACTATTTTCTTTGTGTTGGTTCTTAGCTTCTCCACCTCCCCTATCAGTAGTGTATATCTAATATCTTCCCTAGCCGTTTGATCTAATTCACTACAAAAAATGTGTTGTTTATAACGAAATTTTGGTACAAATTAAAGATTACAGTTGGTTACAAAATGAGACATCTCATATTCTCATATGAACAAGGGAATAGGACCACCATTTTTTCCCTAAAAGTAGGATTAGAATGACATCATTATTGTTATAACTTTATAGTTAATACTATCATTATCGGGTCAAAATATCATCATAAAACCAAATTATCATTTTCCGATCAAATTATCACTATCAAACAATAATGTCAACATGACTTCAAAATAATGTATGACACATGTCTCTGAGGACCCCAACACCAGCCAGACAGTTAATTGTAAGGATGTAAATTGGATTTTAATCACAAGCTGATAGACAGCGAACGAGGCTCTGTCTCAGATACTTGCAGTGAACCTATGCATTTTTACACAGTGACCACTCATCGCAGATGTTAGGAATCGAACTTGAGACTAACTCCTTATGACACGCTCTATCAATTAGTTGAGTTACACCCACCGACTAGGGATGGACCCGGACCGGTCCGGTTCCGGTTCCGGGCCGGGCCCGAGCAGGCTTTTTTGCAAAATGTTGGACCCGGAACCGGTCTGTGTTGATACCGGGTCCGGGCCTAACCGGGCCGGGCCCGGGTCAAGTTCAATTTTTTTTTGGGTTCTAATTAACACCCGACCCCCCCCCCCCCTTCAACCCCACCCCCCAAACCCCCCCAAAACACCCAACCCTAACCTAGAAAAGCAAAGAAAATTGGAAAAACAAAAAAAAAAATTGAACCGGGCCCGGCCCGAACCGCCCGGGCCGGTTCACCAAAAATTGGGCCCGAGCCCGGCTCGCCCGACCCGCCCAAACGGGCTAAAAGCCTGGAACCGGCCAACCGGTCCCGGGCCGGGCCGGGCCGGGCCCAAACAGTAACGGGCTGGGCCGGTTCCGGGTCGGGCCGGGGCGGTTTAGTCCATCCCTACAACATGACTTCAAAACAAATACTCTGTATCCATTAATTGACACTTTATTGACATATTAACTAGGCAAAAAGAACTTATTTGAGGAAAACGTCATACTGACTTATATAAAAATGTCATTTGATTAGCATAAAAAATCAATGGTACAGAAATAAAGAATGTCATCTCAGCATCTCAGTTGCAGTAGGTAAATTAACATCCATAATACTCCGTAAGAATATTTTAGAAATTACAAGAATGTTGAACTTTCTAAATATGAGAGGATTATATTGTGAAAGAAGATTCGGTCCTGTGATAATATTGATCCTAAAATGGAAATAAAATATACACTATTGTGACATTTTAACTATATTTTGACTTTAATAGAGCATTTTTTTTCTAATTTTTTAGCCTTTTAGGGAGTGTTCGTTCATGGGGCGCTTGGGGAAAATCCAATAATTCTCAATGTCCAATGGTTGTCATTACAAGAGCAGAATTCGCATCTGTTTAACTTAATCACTTTGTGGTCATGGCTCAAAATGTAATAAAACTTTACTATTTTCCTCCATATTAGCTAAAACTACACGTAAATGAATATCAAACTTACTTGCTTTAAAAGCAATGGGTTTCTAAAATATCTAATCTCAATTGGGAGCAATTAAAAAGAGTGAATTTCAGTGCAATCAAAGACAGCCCCATCGAAGAAAAGCCTTTACATAACAGTCAAGTAATAGGAAACTTAAAAGTATAAATAACACAAAAACCACCAATATAAAAACTCACTCAGACAATAGAGATGAGCACACAGTAAGGGGATATTCTAACTAGTTTAACTAATTACACAAGAAATGGCTGGTATCCAAAATATCTTCCCATTTTACTCTCCAGGAACCCCTTATGGTTTTCCATCTCCGCCACAAGTCCCACCATTCTCACCAAAAGTGGCACCACCACATCAGCATAACACCCCTCCTCCAAGAATGGTACCGCCAAGCCCACCCATCAAACCTCCCCCTCCCCCACCCCCACCAAAGGTAGCACCACCTCACCCTAAACCACCACCACCTCCGGCACCAAGGCAACCAAGTCCTTTAATTTCACCTCCATCACCTGTTGTCAAGCCGCCGCCTCCACCACATACTCTTCCACCGCCACCGCCACCAGCCAATAAGCCCCCGCCACACCCATATATTCCTCCACCGCCACCGGGACATCATTCCCATGTCATCATTATATTTGTCTCACTTGGTGGTCTGTTCTTTCTTGCATTTCTCTCTGTGGCACTATGTTGCTTCATCAAAAAGAGAAAGAAAAGAATGTTTAAAGAAAGTGATGTTGTAAAGCTGGATGAGCATATAAAAGTTCATGAAGCGATCGTCCCAGGTCCACATGGCACACAAACTACTTTTCTGACCATTGATGAAGATCTGCATATTGATGAAGAAATCAGAAAGCATGAAAAAGTTGGTCATGGCTCGATCATGAAAGGTGTAGAAAAACATCATCAAGCTACTGCTATGGACCAAGCGGGTTCACCATCTGGTTCAAATCACAAGCTATATGCATCCTAGCAAAAAAAATGATACAAATTAAACTTCCATACTTATGGTACATTGCATGTGTACAATGAATATGAAATGACATATCTATATTTTCACATACCACGATAACAGAAAAAAATGAAATGTATAAATTTATGTTTAAATAAAGGAATATTGCCGATTTCCTCAAACACTTATTGCAATTTAATATTATCACAACGACATGTGGTAATGGTCTTTATTTGAGTGATTCTCTAAACTTTCAGGGTTGGTTTGGATGGAGATATTTGAAGTGAAAGGCTTTAGAGGGCTTAGTCTATTTTTTGACATACATTTGATTTTTTATTAAATATGTGATTGTATAGCATTTCAATACCTTTTTTATTCATATTTGGAGATATTCTATACATCAAAATATAGCCTAACCCTCTAAAGCTTTCGGCTGTTAAACATTTCATCCAAATGACAAAATGGGACCCGAGGTGTTATGAGTAGCAGCTTGGCAGCTTCTTTAACGCACTTGTCCTTTCATTCCCAAGAATGGTTATTCCGAGAAAGCAAAACTATGACAAGGAGTGTCAATTCAGTTCTTGTATCTTCTCCCAAAGTTTAATGCTATCTCAAGTTTGCTTGTAGCAAAGTGGTGCAATTAGTTTGTTTAAAGGTAATCAAATATTTAAAACCTAGACTGTTATGGGCAAGCTCTTTTATACCATGAATCGGAGAGAAATACGTAAGTCATAAGCATATACTCTATCATACTTTTATGTATAGAGGAAACAAAATATGAAAACTTTCACAAGAAAAGGAAAAAACAATAAGCACCTGGAGAAATAACCAAAAAAGGAAATTAGTAGATACTCTACCCCTACTGGGGCCCAAGCAGATCACTTTCCCACCTACGGAAGAACCGCTGGCAATTCACCCGTCTAGGAGCACTACCCAAGTACGGCTATCAGAACAGTAACATTGGAAGACTGAAGTATAGTTATTATTTAGTTATGAGTTAGATAACTAAGATCGTGTTTTATTAGTCAAAGGTATAATGGTATAGATACTGCTAGCTTCATATTCTTAGTTATTGGGCTCCCTCCGTACGAAAAGAAAGAGGTCTTTTTCAAAAGTTAGTTTTGGTCACAAAAACTAAACCATTTTCTAAAAACAAGTTTATTTTCATTTACATGTCCCCAAAAAGGTTACAAACAGGTTTTCATGATAAATTCGGTAAACCAAAAACATGCACAAAAACTCTTGTTTTGGGGCAGAGGAACTGAGCAAGTAATAATTTAGGAGACTGTGTATACATTACATAAAAGTAAGAGACAAGCAGAAAATTCAGCATAAAAGCTAATAAGAGAATTTTGGATTTCAAAAGATAGTAAGGTAAGGGATCTCAACCGATTTCCAATCCAGCGACTATTTAGGATCATAATGTTTCAGGCTTCAGCACATAGCAGCATAGGTGGATAGAATTGAAATCAGTGAGACACTATGGTATAATCATAATGACAGTATGTCCTAGAAGCACGGCACAAGATAGTCTCTGCGCCAGGAGAACAACTGGACATATAGATCTATCATAAGTACCTGTTATAATTCATCATCTTTCTCTCTATCCGTGTTAAGGTTTGGCCATGTACTACATTCATGATCCAGATGAAATCAGCAAACTATTCGTCTTTAGAATATTCATGCATGTTGCAACTCAGTCACTGAATAATATTCTTGCAAAAAATTATAGCTGTTCGAAATACACCCGGATCATAATGTTTCAGTACATAACAGCATAGGTGGATAGAGATGAAATCAGTGAGACACTATGGTATAATCATAATGACAGTATGTCCTAGAAGCACGGCACAAGATAGTCTCTGCACCAGGAGAACAACTCGACATATAGATCTATCATAAGTACCTGTTATAATACATCATCTTTCTCTCTATCCGTGTTAAGGTTTGGCCATATACTACATTCATGATCTAGATGAAATCAGCAAACTATTCGCCTTTAGAATATTCATGCATGTTGCAACTCAGTCACTGAGTAATATTCTTGCAAAAAATTATAGCTGTTCAAAATAGTGAAATACACCAGGATGATTAAAAAAAATTCATGCAGCCCCCCAGGAAAAACCATGAGTTTGAGGTACAAAAGCACTTGGTCCTGCTACTCTAAAAGCTTTTGAAGTTTCGTGCATCAATGGTACAAAAAATGATCATTGATCACGAAAAGAACTTACAGGACATCTTAGTTCTTAAAAATGGTTCAAAACAAGACCTAACAGTAGATCCTGTGAACTTCGCATCTCCTTTGTATATTCTATCAAAAAGTGGAAAATAAGTTAATACTCCATCTATTGTTTATTGTTTGCTCCGGTACGGGTTTCACCAAGCTTAATCGCAAAATAGAAGGAATAGTGAATAGTAGGAGAGACAATGAAAAGGTATAAAAAGGTCAAAAAAGAAGATTAAGTGCAAAATTTATGTATTCTAATATTGTAAAACATGCCAAATTGGAAAAGTGGAGAAAATACAAGAAACTTTCAGAAAAGGAATACAAAGCAAATAATAAAAAAGGTCAGGAGTATTCAAATTTTTAGTAACTTCTTGCATTTGCAAATAAATACGGAGTAATATTTTTTAGCAACTATTTGTGTTAGTACACTTCTCCTCAGTTCAAACAAAACCTTAAATTCATATAAACATACTCGTATTTTAAAAAGACAAACCTAAACAACATAACTTTAAAAAATCTTGAATTCTTTTAAATCAGGAAAGAGAATCTTTTAATGGATCTAAATTTACAGGTCAGCAATCGATTCTACCAACAAATTCCTACATATGTGCAGGCAATAGGCCCAGTTTCACACCAAAATTAGCTAAAACTTAAACTTTATAGATACCTCTCCTCACCCACAGATTCTGCTTCACTTGCCAACTGGTCTTTGTCCGAACAATCATCATAATCTGACAGCTGTTGGTTAGAATTATCTGTTTCTGTCTCTGATCCATCTTCGTATTCTGATAACTCCTGACCAGAGCAATCTGCTTCTACTTCAGATTCATAAAATTCTTCTTTTTCCATTAAAGAACCCTCCGGTATCTCCTTGAGCTTCTCTCTCCCTTCTTTTCTTGTAGAGCTATTAAGGATGGAATGAGGGTTACGGTCACTGGGATCACCATAAAGAGCTACATGTCTGTAATAGAGTTCAAGTTCCTTCTCAGCAATGGCAATAAAGCGCCTTACAGACTCAAGTGATTGCTCATACTTGGATTTTTCCAATGCCTTCTTCTTGGACAATGTATCAATTGGTGACATCACTTCTGGTTGCACATAATCTTTACCTCTATAGAAAACTATGGTATCATCACCAATTATCTGAATCGGGATCCCACCACTCAATCTGGCAATCTCATCAGCATACTCTTTTATTTGACCAGGTTTACAAGGCTTGCAATAGACCTTAACAGTTTCATGTTTTTTCCAATGGAGATGCATATTAAGAATAACACCTCCAAACACACCCCTTCTACCAATCGGAACATAATTTGACTTTTTTTGGGCCATTCTTTTGATATAAAATCTTTCTTCCCCGGTGAGGTTGTGTGGCATGACTTCAGGACCTTGAACTTTGGAAACCTCACAACGCTTTAATCTCTCAACTAGCATTGCTTCTTTAACCTTTGCATTTTCAATCTTGTTCTTAATTCTTTCTTCAGCGGTAGCAAACTTCTGCTTCTTCTTTCCCTTGACTCCCAGCCTTCGGGGATCTCTCTTATTTGCCGCTTTCCTCTTCTTTTTCTCTCTCTTCCTCTTCTCTTTCAGCCGTTTCTTTGTTACCCATTTTTCCTTCTTAGGGGGGTCTGTTTCAAGAGTTTCAAACCTCGGCTTCCCATCCGGAGATATCACAAAATTCACAGTCCCATGACTAAAGTTTCTTTGCCCCCACCAAATATTTAGAGGAATAAATGGATTTCTATATCCCGACATTGATGACAGATCTGCAATTGGCTTTGAGTATCTTGAAATTGACCAGGGGATAGGAGATGAGGGATAAAGTGGCTTGACAGGAAATAGAATGAAAAGTCTCCTGATTCGAGATATTGAGCCAGACATAGTCATTACATGTTACTAGAAGTCAGTCAAAACCTCCATGGATTGAAAACTCCGTGTAGAGACAGTTGTGGTCTTGTGGAGCTTCTTCTCTACAGATTCTGGGGTAAATCGTATCTACAACCAACTTTGAGCTAACGATGTATATATAATCTGAGGACATGCTTCAATAGCAAAACACTAAAACCAAGAGAGCGATATTTTAGAATTTTCACCTTTCATAAGAGACTGTTTTATTGAAGACACGTAATTTTCTACAATTTAAAGAAAATAATAAAAACAAAACATACATCTAATGCTTCTAATTTTGGAGTAAAACGCGCAAACACTTTATTAGACAGCATATAATATAGTAACAGAGTGTTGTTTGCTTATCTGCCTATGCAAAGCACAAACGAAGCGCTGCCGTGCCCTTATCTAGGAGCGGATCAAGCATTTCAATGCAGGTGGGGCCAAAATAATCATACATGGAGTGTATAATATAGTTTCAATTTCAATGGCATAAAAAATAAAATATAAAAATAGATACCTAGAGTATTATAGAAGTTTACAAGATTAAGAGTTTTCACCCAAGTCAAATACAAAAAAACATCACAAATTCATAACTAATAGGGACTTAGGGTTCTCAATACAAAAAAAACACATCACAAATATAAAAAGTGTAGCTTGATAATGATATTTTCATTAGCTTCTCCTTCAAAAGATTTAAAGTATCTCCGTAAATCTATCTTTATCACCTTTTTTAACTCTACTACAATCCAAATTCCACCACATCATATGATAAGTTACACAAAAGTAAAACAGTCTATATTCGAAAGAATGGGACTGATACTAACAAAAGCTAATGGGAATAATGCTAAACAATGAGATTAAGGATGTTTTTACTTGGACTGTAATTTGATGGTCTAGTCTGGTCTGGTCTAAACTGGTCTGGTTTCTTTGTATTTTTATAACTATCCAAGTCTGATCTGGTCTGAGAGGAATTAAAGTACAAGTAAAAACATCCTAATACTCAGAAAAATCACTATCATACTAATACTACACGTCCAATTAATGGCATTAATACCCACAATAGTATTAAAAAATGATATTATTTGACTAGTTTAACACTAAACAATGGGACTAATATTCATCTTACAAGTTTTAAGCGTCGAGTTTTGAGCACAATGAGTTTTCAATCATAATATAACGAGTTTTAAACAATATCTTCAGTCATATACTCATATTAATATATTATGATGAGTTTTCGATCAGAATACTCAATGATGGTATGAATATCAAGTTTTGAGCATAAGAGTTGAGTAATTAAATCTGGAATTGGCCACCTATGTCAAAAACTTTCAACCCAATCTGAAATTACATTTTTCATCTAGGATTAATTTACCTTGTTGACCAGTGACGGAAATTGGGGGATTTATACGACTTGTAGGTGCGGCAGTGCAGCAGACGGGCGGAATGCTGCAGCCGACCTGCATTCAGGCTAGGCCTGTGGCGGGCCTACCGCTAGAAGCAGCCGGCAGAGCACGGTCGCCGCTAGTTCGTAGGCGGTCAGCACTCAGCAGCGTCGTCTTCTGGTTGGCTGGAGGCTGGCCGCTGCCTGGCTGAGTAGCTGGTACAGTGCTGTACAGACCTGCGGTCTCCGCGTATGCTGAACAGCAAGGTCGCGAGTTGCTAATAAATTCATTTCTTCATTTGGGCCTGATAGTCCGGATACACTGATGTTAGCGGATTTTTTCAATATGGGCCTCTTTTTATCGCATACCAACTAGGGTTGGGACTTGGGAACCGTAAAACCGGGAAAATCGATCCGAACTGAATCGAAATTTCCGGTTCGTTCGATTCCTATAATTTTGGATTTCAGCTGTTTTCGATTCGGTTCCTATAGTAGTTCACCAGTTCGGTTCCGGTTCGGTTCCAGTTCGATTCCGGTTCCTAGTCAGGAACCGAACTTCTTATATATTGCATGAGTAATCTTCATTTGAGGTGCTTTTAGGTGGAATTTTTTGATGAAATTTTGTGAGCTTGTTGTTCATGAAATAATGATTATGTCCACAAAATTTGAGCTTAAAATGTAACAGGGAAGTCAGCTAAATAAATTATTGAAAAGCATTACGCCAAAATATATAAAAAACACAATGTTTTTCAATATTTTATTTAACTTACTTCCCGATTTAATTTTAAGATAAAATTTAGTACATATAATCTACATTTCATGTAGAACACGTTCGCAAAATTTTTTCAAAAAATTCTCTACGGAAGCACCTCAAATTGAGGTGGCCAGACGGCGTTCCGGGCAGAAAATTCTTGTAAAAATATTTGTTTTGCATAATATACCTTATATATTGTGAACCAGGCCAATCCTAGTAGTTATTATTTTATTACTTTAGTTCACTTTGTTTGTAATTGTATTTGTTATTGGAGTTCACCTCAAAAGGAATTAATATTGTGTTGATTATGTTGTTTATTTCTACGTACTTTTTACTCATTGTGCATTACGAGTAGAAGAATATTATTTTGGAGTTGAATTACCTACTATTAGATGTGTACTTTGGATCTATTGAACCTTTTTTGCTTGATAGTTGACGCCTATTTTAAACCGAGATTTTTGTTATGTTTAAATTTAATGTTGTACTTGCATTTTTTTATATTTGAACATTGAGATATCATGCATGTATAATGTAATGGTCATAATTTCATGATTTAAAATTTGATTTTTTTTACGTAACTGAAGGTAAAATGTGTTCAATTTAGGAGGATAATAAATTTTTATAAGGAACCGAAAAAAGGTAAGAACTGAACCAAATTTAACTAGAACCGAACCGAATTTAACAACTACATTTTTAACTAGAACCGAACCGAATTTAACGCCAACGATTTTTATACGGTTCCATCGAGTTTTAACAAGAACTGAACCGATCTCAGGCCTAATACCAACGAAGTACTTCTTCCATTATTAAATAAGTCCAACATTTTTCTTTTTCGGAGTTTTTTTCTAAAATAATGTTACATAAAAAACTATTTATGAAATCTGTATACTCTCTCAGTCCCAAATTGTTTTGCAAAGTCAATATTTTTTGGTCACCCAATAATAAAAGTCAATCCTCACTATCGATAATTAACTCAATTTTTAATTATTAAAATTTACATATTGAAAAATTACATTAAAATCTCTACAAAGTTGCAAATTCCAAATTAGAATATAATTAAAAATTGACATCCTAATATTGCAAATAAAATGAAACTGTTTGACCAAGAAAAGTCAAATTTGCAAATGAATTTGGAACGGAGGTAGTACAATATAAAGTAACAGTGTATGCACCACAATTGAAGATTTGAAGAGAAAAATCCCGCACAAAATGTTTCAGGGAATAATAATGGAATTTATTGTAAAACGTAAGAGTAATTATTGTAGAATGTAAAAGTGAAATCCCGCCCATGAGAGGGCATACTACACCTATATGAATGTATGGTAAGAATGTGAGAGCATTTATTGTCTAGAAATCCTTATCAATTAATACATGTAAATTATCTCCAACCGAGGTAAGCTGCCAACCTGCCATAAAAAATATACAAGTATAATGATGGAGTATATGGCCCAGGGACCCCCGACCCACGGACTCCTACCACTCTAATAAAGGCCCAACGGACCCAGGAAGCACAACAGGCCCAAATCACAGCGGCCCAAATGTCAAGAAGCCCAAGGTGTACGTACGGATGCCTTTCGGCCCCATGACCGAGGGCTACAAAATCTCACAGGACAGCTGATTTTAGGCATACAAAGCTACTGGGAGAAGACAGCAAAAACAGAAGCCTTCGGCACCTACAGCCCTCGGCACACAGAGGCCCCCGGCCCATAGGAGCCTTCAGCATAGTAGGTACAACTGAAGGCGTCCTCCTCGACAGAATCTCCTCCCCACATGCGCTGCATCGTCGTACCAAGTACAAACGTCGCATCTAACCACCGCATTTAATGCGGCCACATGCGAATGCCGGTGCCACCCTAATTGAGGTGACCCTCGGCTGACAGATGTTCGACACGTGTCCCGATCTAGCATTTATTGCTGCTATAAATAGCAGCCCATTTCCCCATTGTAAACACACAACAATTCATACTCGAATATATACTCTCTCTTACTTATTGCTCTAACTTCTCTCTAGTTATTCCCCGAAATAACCCCTCGGATAAGCTACCCCCCGGGTACACTATCCATCATTTGGTGCTCTCGTTGAGCGGTCGAATAATCAAGTAAGAAACCCCCCCTTTCACCAAACACAAAACACCTACCAAAATGGGAAGAACCACTCGTGCCCAATCCAAGACCCTTGAGGACAACAACTTGGCCCTCGGCGAAGTCGACGCCCCCGGAGCCTCCAACAAGGCACCTGAGGGAGGAGTCATCGCTGAGTTGGACCAGACTGTTGTTGACATACGCCTTCAGCTCCTGCATAATGCTCCCGATGCCCACCTCGGCATCGAGACTCGAAGGAAGGACCGGAGCGAAAACCAAGTGAGCCCTCCGGTCCTCACTATTGACGTACAGTCGGCATTTTCCGCCTTCATCCATACACTCACCCAGAATCCAAGTGAGCCCTCTGGTGCCACTTCAGCCACAGGTCGGGGAGAACGCCGTTCCTCCCCCACCTCCACCCCCGTTCGTAAACCCTATCCTTCGGTTAGGGAACAACGAAGGGGTCGTGGCTCAGGACACCTGATAAGTCCGTATTTAGACACGCATTTGATGCATGATGGGATCGACTTGTGATGTTTATCCCAGCTTTAAGGTGTTACAAGTCTCAATTTTAGCTCAAGTTATGTTTACCGGGCGGTTGTTCGAGTTTTGTGTCATTTGGAGTCAAAATGAGGATTTCAGAGTTCAACATCGGCGCTTGAGAAGATATCAGGATGATTTGAGAAGCATTCGAGAGTTATTGGAGAGATTTGGAGGTCACCGGGAGGTTCATGATGAAGATTTGAAGAAAAAAGAGCTCTAGGATTGGCTACGGGATCAAAACAAGATGAATGGAGCTTGAAATCGGCGATCAGGGTGACCTTCTATCAATCGTTCAAGCATATATCTTTGTAGAAACATTCAATGTACACGATTCAAAGTCCATATGAAATCTAACTTCAAGATCTAGAAATCATATGAAGACACCTTTGCTAGAATCTGAGAGAAAGAAGGTGAAAACAGACGATAAAGTCAGATGATCTCTGCTGCCATTTCAGAATGATACCTTCCACCGTTTTGATCATATGTCTTGATTGAATGATTCAAATCATATTCGGAAAATTGGGGTGGATAGAGGACTTTATTATCTACAACTTGCATCAAGTAAGCATTTCCAAATTCGGAAGTTAAGTAGGCACGATCGTGCCGTCAAAGTCAGACACGATCGTGCGTGAAGAGAAAGCATCGCGGAGCTACTGCCAGCCACGCACGATCGTGCCCGGAGGGAGGCATGATCGTGCCTGAACAAAGTGTGTGTTTTTACTCCGGAGGCACGATCGAAGGCACGATCGTGCCTGGCACCGTGCCTGCCTCCGGAAATCCCAATTCAGCTCAAATTTTACCCGAATTTTCTATTTAAACAACCTGTTAACCCCCGTTTTCAAGGGGGAGCTTAGAGAGAGTGCCTAGTACGAATTTTATAGGTCTTTTAAGACCTGTTCATCAATCTTTTGGGATTCTTTGTAAGTTCCATCTTTCTAATTAATGACAATTAATTCTTTTCTTCCCAATTCTATTGATTTTTCAATTATGAATTGTGAGTAATTTTAATTAGGGATTTGGGATTGATGAAGAGGTTGATCATGATGTATGGCTAGATTCTTGATGGTTTAATTGCATGAATGCCGTTTAATTTGTGTTTGAATAATTTAATTGATATTTTTTGTAACCCGGAACCGTGACTATAATTACAATTGCTTATAGAATAAATAAAGAGAGATCTAGTTTATTCTAGGACACATTCACACACACTTAATCGTTCGCTAAGAGATTAGTAGCGATTAAGGGGTCGTAAGCTCGCTCGTCTTGGAAATAATTTAGGATCCTGTCGCATGAAAGATCAGCCTGGTCCCCTAAATTATTGTACTCTATGCCGCGAGAGCGGCAAGAACTTAGTAATGATTAGCTCAATTGAATTAATTTCATGTAATTAGGCCTGATCTGCCAGAAATTTGGTTACCCCGGAATCAATCCCTATTCCCTTCGTCATTAATTAGAAAGAACCCCCTAGTTTAATCGTTTTATTCGCATTTTTATTTTCCAGCAACCAATCTCGCACGACGCATTTTTATTTATTTTTTTTAATTTCTGAATAAAATTGATCTTTGATTCCCTTTTGTCCGTCCCTGTGGAGACGATACTCGTACTTACACCACTATATTACAATCTATTTTAAGTGCTAGAAAACTCACATCAACACCGCTTCCCAGGAGGTCCAGTCCCGGGACCAACGCGGTGCAAACAAAGATAAGCCTCGGGCCTCTGCCCTCGAGAGGCTAGGAGGAGCGCAAGATCGCCGAGGGGTCCAAGACCGCCTCTGGGGAAAGGCGTTCCAAAGACCTCAAGAAAGCGGGGGATCTGTCTCGAGAGCAGACGAGAGGCGTCCCCCTCGGGACAAAGGCAAGGGACCACTCC